CCACAAACTTTTATTATTTAATAGTATACATATATAGGCTTCTACAAAGATAGATTTTTGGGAACGTTTTCATTTTAATCACCGTGCCCTAATCTTCAAACACTATTGTGTGTGTAAAACACAACAATCAATGTGAATGTGGGTGTGAGTGTGACAAAAAGATTACTCATTTTGACACTCACACCCATCAAGGTGATGCTAACTGCTCATTTATCAGCTAATTATCATTCATTGAGATTACTGACTTCACCGCACGCGACACTTCCACACGAAAGAAAGTTTTTTTGTGTTTCTGTGTTGCAATAATACAGTCTCTGAAATTTCATTAACTGTTCTGTCGGTGTGAGTGCTGGAATAGAATGAAGGGAACGGGACCATTGCGACTTATAACCACACCCTCGCCATATTTGTTTTTTCGCTACAACGCTCTTCGCTATTTTTCTGTTCCGCAAACTAACACCATTTCGGCAAAAATTCCATCATTAGCTTCATTGACAATATCGGTCAAATAAAAGAAATGAGTCTACCTATATAAATATTCACATTTATTAGGTAATGAAAAATATAGAAGTAAGGATATACATGGAAGCTTCGCTTCTTCAAACAAATGATTTACCCGATAAAATTCTTATGGTTATATTTTAAAAAAATATACAAAGCCGAAGTAATTTACTCTTTATTAGATGTTCATAAACGATTAAATAGCATCATACATGGTTCTGTTTTTACCTATCGTTTAAATTTGCTAAGACTTATTGTGAGTCATTTAATTGTACTAAGATCTTTATCAAGTTGATCTATTTATCCATTAGTTGATTCAATACTTAATCGATTTCACTTACAAATCTTACCGCAAATTTATGATCAATATCAAATGGCTGAATCTTGAATTATCTTCAATAGAACGTTTAGTTCTTGCTGCAAATCATTCTAATTTATATGGATTTGCTTTATATAATATTGTAGCACAACGAGCTATCAATCTTTTGTTCTAGTCAAATATTTAATATCGATTCTTCCCATGATAAATAACTAGATTAAAGTTATATGGCAAATGAATTCATCGGAGTCAACTTATAAAATCATTATTTAGAAAATCACATATTATTATAATCTTAAAATTATTCTGTATATTATTGATATTTAATAACAAATATGCATGAGAAGAAAATGTAGAATAAAGTAAATGATAACGATTGACGAGCATGAAAGCTGTTGGTGTAATCTCTGTGGGTTTAAAATGTGAGACTCGATGTAAGTGTTATTACTAATCACTTGAAAATTGCTTCATTCGAACTACTTTGGTACACATTTCTTCATCAATGGTGGCTGAATTTTATACAAGAGCCGGACCAATAGTTATTGGTTCCGAGCCCGACCCTAGCCGAAAGAACTGCTTCGTCTCAATCTTAGTGAAAAAAGTATTTGTTTTGTTCATAAAAAAATTGATACTGATGAGACCATGTTATCCATATCTAATTAATTTTCTAGAACTGCAATAAGGAATTAGTTCATATATATTCTAATGAGTTCTTAGTGCTAGATGTTGGCTAATCGTATGTCAACAACATTTTTCATGGCTTGTGGGAGGAGAGCGCAAATTTCTAGGCTCTATACTTCAACACTTCTTTGCGATCGTGTTTCATACTAAAATAACACCAAATTTATGATAGAAAGTCATTTATTGAATAGTTCTAACGAGGAACATCATCAAATATGTAATTTATAGGATTATTACAACATTAAAAAAAACTATTGCCCATTTCAAAAAAAAGACGGATTGATATTTGTTGAATTTGTTTTGAAAGAAGTAGATAGACGTCTGCAATTTTCACAGTTGGAAAGAGGAGATGAAGACGCATTCAATGGTATATCGTAGGCTTCTCTGAGATGTTTTCTAAAGTTTTCTTAATCAATTTTCTGAAAAAATGCCCGGAAAATTGGTTTCTCTTAGATTAAGAAAAATGCAAAAGAAGTGATTTTTTTTCACAGAAATCAATAAAAAACCGGCTAAGAGTTTCGGATCAAATGCATATGACTCATAAACGAGGAAATCTAAAGGTCTGGACCTTGTTCAATTTTGTAGATCTTTATTTAGCGGTTCGAATGCGCACCTGATTATTGATAATTGAACTTAGTCACATTCCTGAGTATGTTACTTTTCAAAAGTGTCGATTTAAGTTCTTAAACAAAACTAGGTCAGATTATTTTGTAATATATAGTTCGATACATCTTTATTTCCCCTTTTCAACGGCGAAAACTGCAGCTCTCTATCTTACTTCTATCAAAAGTAATTCAAAAAATACTTACCTTTTTTTGAAGCGAGCAACATATACTAACACTATTTTTGGTTCGATTAATTTTAATTCTTTTTAATAAATAAGTAGACAATATTCTGCAATCATTTACAGTTGAAATTTGTGAGATGTTTATCCCAATTCTCGTTTATTTGTATAACTGTATCTAAGGATGAACGAATAATCTCCCTCTACATAACAACATAACACTCTATATATAGAAGTAACAGAAGGAGTTGGAAATTTCCAATACACGATGAACAAGGAAAATTCATAGAACAATATGAAAGACAGAATAATAGAACGAAATGGGAACTGCAACATATATAAAAGGAAAGGGAAAAATCCTTGAAACATGACTAGCAGCAAGAGGAAAGAAGAAGAACATAAGTGAATAGGTATAATCATATAAATAAATAGGAAAAATCCTTATGACTACATCTGAAGCAGATGTAGGTCATAACAAAAGTCATAAGCATTACTAATTTATTAGTTGTTATTAGTACCAGAGTAATTGATGGTAGTGCGAATAAATGTGCAACATGGATAGATTGTTTCCATTAGTAAATAATAATAACCTTTTGAGGACGGTGGAACATACATTGTCCCACTTGTTGTCTAGTAAAGAATATGTTTGTTCTTCTGTTAATCGTTGTGACCTGTAAGGTAATAGGTCGTTCCATCAGTCATTTCATGCAGATTTTTTTCTCTCTTATATCATGTCATATAAATTTCTTTCAGATGTTCTTCTGTGTCTCTGTTAATGTACACTGACGTCACAATACCTTCCTCTCTTACCTTGATGTGTTATCATAAGGCGTTTATGTGGCCATTGTGAGTTAAACACAATGAACTGATTAAAGAACTGCTTTTCAATTGAAAAAGAAATTCCGTCCTCATAGACATAATAAACATTCTTCGAACATCACAGAGAGATGGATTATTTATGATGACGAAAACACAAATTTTTAAATCACTTTTACTATTAAAGAACAAGTTAAAATAGAATTTGTTTTCAACTTTAGAGATACAAAAGAAAAAAAATAACATTGTTGCAATGTCATTGTTGTTATATATTTTTATATAATGCAATATTGTTCACAATTAAAAACTATATGATTTAGATTATACAAGGTGGATGATTCAAAGCACATAAAAAAATGTTCGCATTCAATTATTATTTCATTTACTTTTTAACTTGCTAATATCTTCTTCAATTTGAACGATACTTGGATGTTTAGGTGGTAAGATTTTTTTGTAAATTTCAAGTGCATCACTATAATATTGAAATGCTATAGTTAATTCCTTTTGTTTATAATGTAGTTTTCCAATACTGTGATAAGTCGAAGCAATACTCTTAGCAATAGGAGGTAAATATGCTTGTCTGATTTCTAGAACTTTTGTATAATATTCTAACGCTAAAGTATAACGACCTAAATCAGCATAAGTAGTTGCTATTCTTTTGTATGTTTTAGCAAGTATAAGAGGTTCCAATGGAAATAATTTTTCTTCAATTTTCATTGCTTGTTTTAAATATTTTAAAGCTTGATCATGATCATTTTGTTCACAATAAATGTGTCCCAACCGACTATAAGAAATTGCTAAATCCCGATGATTTTTTGGTAAAATTGATGTTTTTATAGCTAATGCTTGTTGTTCATAATTAGCTGCTTTAATAAAGTCATTTTGTCCTAAAGCAGCTTTACTTAATCCTGAGTGTGCAGCACTTAGATCAAGTTGTGCATCGCGCATCATATGTTGATAACACTTTTCTACTTGTTCAAACTCACCCATTTCAAAAAGAATTTTACCTAATGATGCTAAATTTGTTTCTTCACCAATTTTTTGTTTCATATGAGCAAATGTATCTTTTAAACGATAATCACTTTCTTCAGCTAATGATAAATAAGCTATCCATAGATTGTTTTTTTTATCATGAGAAATTTTTTCTATATGAAAAAATGCTCCAAGCATAATTAAAACTTCATCTTCATTTTTGTAATAACTCATTTCTTTAACGTAAGCAAATGGTTTTGTTTGTAAGTTTGAATCTATTTTTATTTCAAATAATATTCGTTGTTGCAAATCATTATGTATTAGTAATGAAAGAGCAAAATTCAGTGCAGTTGAACGATTAAGACTAGTTGAAAAAAAAGAGTTCATTGATAAAAATTCTCCAACACTATTTTTCATCATTTGAAGTTCATTGTTTCCAATTGCTTGACCTCGGTAAACATAAATACTTTGCGAACCACGATTCGTTCGAATTAATTTTTCATATTCACTTTTTATTTGTTTTGCAATATCAGTAATAAAAAATCGAAAAGCAAATAAAGTGTCAAAGCATTGAAAACGTAATGCTTTATTTAATATTCTATATAAACATGACTCACGTGTATACCAACGAATGGCATCTTCTGGCTTATATTTTGTTTCAAATTCATCAATAATATTTAATTCAGAATTGTTCCCTTTACAATTATTTTTACAGAGATCAATAAGCTCTTTTCGGTCACTTAATTTATGATGCATACGAAGCAATACTTCGATATATAATTGAAACCACATATATACTGCATGTCGTTCTTCAAGTGATTGACAATGTTGATTTATTACTGAAATTTGTGGACTGTCTTCTAATTTATATCTATCGATTTGATCATCTGATAGTTTTCTAATGAGTTTATCCAGTTCAACAAATACTCCTTTTACCTAATGAAAACAATTCAAATTAGATTAGAAACAAAAATCTCATAGTTCATTACCTTTGGATAATGATCCGCCCATTTTTTATGTGATTTTTCGTTAGCACAAAAGACATAACATGCTGATAATTGTGGAAGATCATGAATACGAGGTACTAATGAGTGACCTAATTTACCAGAAACAATTAAAACGACTTTTTCTTGAGTTATATCATGAATGTACTGTTGACATTGTTTTTCATCATTACAAGTAAATAAATGATTAATTATTCGACGAAGTTCTTGTTCTGTTGTTCGACTCTCATCTGTTTGATCAATAGTGGAATCGAGCCATACACACGTAAATGATTCGAGATTTCGAACTATATTACTATCTTCTGTTGAACTGTAGAAATTTGTTGACATGTTCTCACTTCCCGCAATACACTGACTTTTCGATCGTTTCAAAACAGCAATAAAAGAACAGTTTAGTCTTGAAATACGTAAAAGTATTGTGTTGATCTTTAGATAACTCTTTTTTTATGTTCTTTGTCGAAGAGTAGTTGTTTTGTTTTTGTTTCTATTCAGAGAAAATGATAAGAAAGAGAAAGAATATTGGCCAAGAAAACAAATATTTTTCGATGTCTTAAAACACATATTGAATTAAACAGCATGTTGATGTCAACCATAAAAAAATACTCTTCGAAGCAGAAGATAATATAAGTAGAGTATCGTTGAGATTTTGCTGAAAAATTTTAAACGAATTTTGAAAAATATAAAACACGTGTCCTATAAATCTTCAAACGCGTTCTTTACTAGATTTTATTATAGTAAAGGAGTGTTTTAAAAAAATGATAACTATCGTTGTAGCAAAAAAAAAGGAATTCAATAATTTTCTAATTTAAAAATTGGAATTTTAGATGTTGCTTTTATAAGCCAAACTGATTAATAAAATAGCCAACTAATGTTGATTGATGTTTGAGATCTATTGAAAGAATACAGTTCAATAAGAATTCCATGACGAAATACAATATGATATTTTAATGATGAAAATCATTCGTAATAAAATTATCTCTTGGTTAATAAACATTTACATGCATTTTGTGAAATAAATGAGCAGTTCAATTAACCAAAAAAAAAGATATATAAAAACTTGAATATGTTTATTTACTAGGTTCGAAAAGTATTGCGTTGTTTTTTTTTATTCTAAGAAATTAAATCAAAGCTAAGAGAAGAAGGATTCCAGCCGATCAGTCATTAGGCAAATATATGCCATCATCATCAAATAGAAAGTTATGTTACGAAATTTCATTTATCGTTAAGAAAGTTGGCTAGTATCGAAAAGCGTTGATTCATCTGAATGCGAAGCAGTCACTTAAATATATATTGGTTAATTGACTATGACCTTACTTAATATCATTATTAAGACAAAGATAAGAACTACAATAATTAGAATATCAAAGACAAAATTAAAATGAATTTCTAGCTTTTCTATGAAGCATATTAAGTAGAAATCATTTTGTATAATCTTCTAATATTATTACCAACACAAAATTAGATAATTTTAAGTTTTGTTTTAAAAAACTTAAAATACATTTCCGAAACACAGAAATAGTAGATCAAATAAAAACTCAGATTGGTAATCCAAGCAGTGTCTATAAAAACAGTATAAAGAAAAACCAACAGAGGTGTGAATGGGAATATGGACGTTGATTTGCATATCGGTGTTAGTGTCCATGTTAGTCAGATTTTTCTTTTTATCTATTCAACCAATCACCCTCAAACTCGTTCACCGCAACAAACAGCACTCATACATCCATACGCACACATGGATCACAACCATGCATATCACACTCGCACCATACAACATAAAGTCATTTTATTTCATATGATTCTTTTTTCAGTCGAAAGAACAAAATACATAAAAATAAACGGATCGATTTTTTTTTATGTCGTTCATAAGAAAGAAAAATGCAAATATTGTAGTTGGAAATATCTCATCCATTAATTATTGTTATGGAAATTAAGAGTGATGATGCTTCATTTGTTTATAGAATGTATTGAAAGAGAAGTATGAACTTTTGAATTATTGCATATTGTCATTTTGAACTTTTTTAATCATGTACTTCTTCTGAAGAAAGATTTTTGAGATTAATAGTATTAGACTGATTTCCAGAAGATGAATCAGAGTTTGTCAAAGTTGATTGGTTCTTTTGAAACCATATTTGTCCCTCATAAAGAATCCATTCACTTAAGCACGTAATAAAATCTTTAGCATAGACATGTTTGACCCATTGTCGAGGTAAATCATTATAACCATAATAAGCACCAGCTAACTGACCATAAATAGCAGCTGTTGTATCAGCATCATCACCAAGATTAACAGCAGCCAAGATACCATTTCGAAATGAATCGTCATCAAAGCAAAAAGCCCATAAAGCAGCTTCAAGACTATTAACAATAAAACCTTTTCCTCGAATTCCATCTTCATAGCCAGCTTTCTTCTTCTTATATGATCCTTCGACAATTTTCTGAATGTCTGTATGAAATGGTTTATCACTGAACCATGTTTTGTGATTTTGATAAAAATTTGGACTCAACAAATCATCTTTTTTCTCACCGTTAAGAGCAGCTACAATGAGTGCTCCATAAAATCGACATGCATCATAGACTCTTACATCTCCATGAGTTATCCTAGCACTAATGCCAGAATATTCTACGGCTCTACTCGGATCTTTATAAAAAAAGAGTGGCACAGGTGCAAGACGCATAAGACCTCCGTTACCAGCTGATTGATCGTTACTGCAATTTACATCGAACTGTCTTAAGATATCTTGGTCAGAGAAAAGATCCATGTCGTCGGGCGAAATGTTTTTTTCTTTGACAAAGCTATTTTGGCGTCGTTCGAATTCACGCAGTGATTTACCAGTAGCAGTACCTATATCAAAGCATTGACCAGTAGATGACATATAACCGCATCTATACCACCATTTATAACGTACTAATTGGTCATATGGCTGAAAATTCCTACAGACGATTAAAGAACTTGCTAAACAAAGAGCCATGGATGTATCGTCAGTGAACTATATAGTAAATAAAAAGAATCTTTTATATGAAGTTTTTTTTCTTGAAAACAGCACTTTCAAGAATATTTTTCGATAATAAATAGGATTGACACTTATATTATTTAATGTTTTTCTCATAGAATTTGTTGTGTTGAGCTTTATAATTTATATTTTCATCTTTCATCTTTTATTCTGACTGATAGAGATCAAGAGATCCTTATATTATGATCAAGATAAAAACAATATGTTGATTTTCGTTTTATTCGAAAAAATTATAGAAGCCATAAGAAAAGTAGATAAGTCTTTAAAATGATACTTTACCTGAAGTTAGTATTAAACAAATGACAGTGCTACAGATCTTTACGCGCTTAAATACTATTTATTGTATTTTTAACAGCCAGCGCAGTAACTTTAAGTTTAAAACTTGTTTCATCTACAAGATACTGCTTATTATCTACTTAACAATAAAGTGAAATCCTAGAAATTTACCGAAACAAACATCTTATACAAGAACCAATGAACAACATTCATTCACATACAATATAAAACATATTTAATCACATCTTCATAAATACCTGTCCTTTTTTGAGACCCCACGTTCCTCCGGCTTGAAGATCAGTCACAGGATGTTTAAGTAAATATTCACGAGGTCTAAATTCTACACGAGCGCCAAGTGCATCACCTAACGCTAAGCCTATCAAAGAGCCTTGTATACGATTGAATAAAATCTTATCATGAGATTTTGGAGGATGTTCCATCTTTGTTTCAAGTTCATCAGGTTTCTTGATTCGTTTACAATTCTTATCATGAAATTGAAGATTCAGCCAATGAAAATCTAAATTCGTACAATAAATTGTTCATCGAGAGGAACTGTCAGACCATCAAGTATACGATAAACTCGATAGATTTTTTTTCTTTTAGTCTTTTCGATGAATCGATGCCTGAAATCGCCAATTCGGAAACTTTAGTCTCTTATACGCTTTCTTTGAAAAATTAGTCAATATCGACTTTTCAAAAGATGAAGAATTAAGCATTATAAAATAACTTCTTTCGTGTTAAGCTCCACAAGACCGACATGAATGAAAAATGCTTCTTTTAATGAGTTGACATTGTTCATCTAATTAAAATGTATCATATCCTATTATAATTCAAAATCAAAAAGTTGCCAGCTGAGAGCAGACGTTAATATTTTTCACAAAAAGAATTTCTTCTAAAATATCTGTGATTCAATGTAGTCTTTTAATGAGGATTTTGAATATCATATCTATTGTACTTGACAACAGCCTCATAGTAATGAAAGTTGCTAAAATAAAATTTTTATTGAAAACCAATCAAAAAATGTTTCATAGAAGAAAGATGTGTGTCCAACATATATAAAATTCAGCTCAGGATTCTTTGATTATGAATCATAGTAATAGATGATACATTTCAGTTAGGTAACGGTTTTGACTCTTCGAAAATGACATTTTTCATTCATGTCCAGCTTATGCAATTTAGCACGATAGAAGTTATTTTATATTGAAAAATAACCTATTGCTTTTTCAATGTTTAATTCTTCATCTTTTGAAAAGTCAATATGGACTAATTTTCCAAAGTGTATTAGAAACTAAAGTTTCTGGATCGATGATTTCAGACATCGATGCATCAAAAGGACTAAAAGAAAAAAAGGAGAAAAAAAATTTCTCGAGTCTATTGTATACTTGATAGTCTCACAGTTTCTCGCTTGAATTTTCGTTAACAGGATATCAAAAGAAAAAGTAACTCTTTCAAGAAGAAGAATTGTAGATTTTATTGTTATGTGTAATATTAATTGATTCATTTAAGCATTCCTATTCATTATAAATGAAACATCAATTTGAAACTCTATGGAGTGTAGTTACAGAGTATTTTTGAAGAAAAATAAAATTGATTTTAAAGATTAAATTCAATCGATTTTCTCTAACTGTTATTAAATAGCAACTTATGAAAGACAATTTTTACTAACAACTTACATGGTTGTGAAGAAGAAGAATTACCAGTCGACACTGTTACTCTGGATTCTAATGCAAAAGATAACAAGTTTGTATGATGAATAGTATTCAAAATCATAAGAATAAAATATAAGAAATTCTTACTCGATCCTCCCATGCTTTGTTTTATGTTTTAATATTTAAAATTAATTGGAGGAGAAGTTTAATCGTTTTTTCGTAGTGATTCTTATTAAATTTATTAATACAAACTATGGTTGTTGATTATACTAAAAATTAAAATCTTCAGATATATTATTAATTTTGATGAAGAATATACAATCTTTAACATATGAACTTTGATTCATTTTAGTTTTAATAAAAAAAAAAAAAGAAAACACACTTTCGTATCAAAACACCCCTTAACAGTACGCAAAAAAATCTTTTCATTTCGGTTTATTTTTCCTTTTTTTTGGACTAGCATGTGGTGTTGCTTTGTAGAAGTTTTTTCTTTCTTCCTAGGTATGACATTGAAATATCCATATTTATTCCTTCGTCATGTATACGGGTAAATATTCTGATGATTAGTACGAAAAAAAAACATTTATATAATTAACCATTCAATCAAAAATGACAAAATGTCTACGAACAAATGGAAGAAAAACTACATTATAATGAGACAAAGCAAATAGTGACGAAGAATGAGACAATTATTGGGTAAGTTACCACAAATAGAATAGGTTTTATTACACTGTAGAACTTTATTGATATTCAAGTTGACTGATTTGATCAAGGTTCAAAAAAAAAGGTGTAGAAATATAAAAACACTTTCCCGATCAAAATAGATTTAATTTATGCAATACATCATCTCGATCAGATTGTTTTCGTTTAAAAAAATTGCTTTGCATATCTAGTAAACTATTGCAGATGAAATTATCGTATTGGTATCGCTCATGTTGAAATAACAAACTATTTTTCTAGTTCGGTTTTTCATTCGAAAAACAAATTCATTGTAATAATACTTTTTACTGTAAACGTAAGAAATTTTTACTATGCTAATATTTTGTAAATATACATAATCTTTCTGGAAGAATAATTTCTGTAAAAATAAAAAGAATATATTGCTCAATCATAAAAATATACTGATAATATCATTTCATTGGAATAATAACTATGCCTTGAATATTGCTTGTCAACTAGTAAATCTCAATTACTCATCACTATCAAACAGAATTTTGTATTCATTATGAATATATCATGCAAATATAATACACAAAACTACTATAAATATTTTTTAATGATTTATTACAATAATATTTGACAATTCATCAGATAACTACCGAGAAACTATTGCTGGATGAGTACGTGTCAAGTCTGTAAAAACTGACAGAAATGAGCGATTTCGATGCACTCTGACAAAATTAATGTTTCTGAGTCATCTGTAATAGCAAGCGGCAGCACCAGAATTTCTGATCAGGAAGAACTTAGCTTCCTCAGGCCTTCAGCGGAATCAGCTTTAGCCACACCTTCACAAACTTTCTGACGAGACTCAGTTCCTCATTAACCTTCGATGACGCAGCTGCTAGTATCAGCCACGGAGCCCAAATCGACTCCTCACGTTTTTACAAATCTTCATTAAGAAATATCATGTTATAGAAGTATGATCATAAAAAAATCCCCTTAGGTCTCTATCTGCTGATATTCCCGAAGAACAAACTTTTCGCCAAAATGAACTTATCGATGTTTTCAGATTATATAGCACACTGAATTGTCTAGAAACCAGTAAATTATTCTATTTCAGATCGTTTTTGTTTTAGACAATACAGCTATGTATGTAATTCATATAGCAGACATATGTAAAAACTTTAGGATGATACTTTGTTTATTTAAAATTCATATTTAGAAAATAGAAAAGATTATTCATTAAAGAACAACTCGATATGCTCTATAATCTGAGTAGATCATAAAGGATTTGGGTAAAATGTTTTTCAGCTTAGAAAACCGATTTTCAAGAAAACCAACCTATAAAGGTCTAAGTTGGTATGAATATCTTAATATACATTCGAACATACAGTGGGCCCCAAAATTATTCAACAAGGTGTAATTTGGATTTTTTTTCGTAGCCTTCAGTGCTAGAAAGAATTCAAATAGCGATTTGAAAAGAGAATATTGTTGCCAACAAGAATTCGAGAAAATGATAACCGTCATGAATTTTCCCAAAATAGGGTTTCTCGAAAGCCCAAACCCTGATTTTTTAGCATCCAGAAGCCGCAACAGAAAATTTGTTTTAACAGTCTAGAATTATTGAGCAGCCAATTCTCTACAAAATGAGACGTCTCAGAGCTTTCTACTACCTTCCCTTCAAAACTTATAACCGATACAAAAATTGAAAAAAATGCGTGTTTTAGTCGATTTTCTCATAAATTTCACTTTTTTTTCGATTTTTATGACGCTTATAACGTTTGAAGAGAAGGTTGTAGAAAGCTCGGAGACGTCTCATTTTGTAGAGAATTGGCTGCTCAATAATTCTAGACTGTTAAAACAAGTTTTCTGTTGCAGCTTCTGGGTGCTGAAAAACCAGGGTTTTGGCTTTCCAGAAACCCTATTTTGGGAAAATTCATGACGGTTATCATTTTCTCGAATTCTTGTTGGCAACAATATTCTCTTTTCAAATCACTATTTGGATTCTTTCTAGCACTTAAGGCTACGAAAAAAAAATCCAAATTACACCTTGTTGAATAATTTTGGGGCCCACTGTATATCATTTAATGATATTCAGCAGATGTTCAACATTCTTTTTTTCTTATCAATGTATGATAATAAGAGTTGAACCAAGAAAATCTCAGTCATCATATGAGTATTTCGTATAAGATGATAAAAGATTCCTTTGAAATAGCGACATCTATTGCTTGCATAAACTAAACCAAAATTGAAGTCTTCAGTTTATTTCTAAATGGATTCTCATAGCAAATAATTTTCATTCGAAAGATTCTGTCAGAATAACTTAAAACAATCGTTGATTGTATTCGTTTATGAATATGATCAAAGATGACTTGACCAGACGCGTGTCACCGCTTTCCTGCCAATGTTGGCTACCTCAAATCAGTTCTGAATATAATAAATAGAAATGAACTAATCTAAGCATAATTTTTTGTTTTTATTCAAGATCATATTAGATAAAAACAAACAGAAATGAACGACGACAATTTTATGTCAGGTGCTTTTACTGATCGAATTGATGTTGCTCGTATGAGATATCCTCATTGTATTGTTTGGACGCCGATTCCACTTCTTACATGGCTTTTTCCATTTATCGGTCATATGGGTATCGCACGTACTGATGGGATTATTCGAGATTTTGCAGGACCTTATTATGTATCAGTAAGTTTAAGAATTATTTTTTCTTAATTAATTAATTAGTAATAATCATCTATGTATAGGAAGATGATATGGCATTTGGTCGACCAACAAGATATTTACAACTTGATCTAAATCGTATTCCAACAACAATGGGTTCAAATAATATACAAGGTATTTGGGATAAAGCTGTTGAACAAGCATCAGATGAATATAAAAAAAGAATGGTTAATCAAATAAGATTTTTTCTGTTTTTGTATTTTTTCTTTAATTAGTTGTTTTTCTTATTTAGCATAATTTATGCTGTGATAATTGTCATTCACATGTAGCTATGGCATTAAATATCATGAGTTATAATCGAAAATATTCCCATAATATGATTTCAGTTTGTTTTTGGATGTTTTTTCGTGGAAAATTTGTCAGGTATATCAATGTATGAATGTTCATTATCATTT